TGTAATATTTGCAGCTAAAGTTAGTATGATTCGTATGAGCCTCGGGTGTCTCTTATTTTGATTCGACAGCATCAAAGAACATTTAGGCCTATAATTAACGCTGCGTCGTAGTCGTTTTCGACGTGCAAGAATTTTAATATAGCGCATTATTCAAACGGTTTAAAATATCATCACGAAACTTGACATACTTGCTTATCATGAGAAAGTGCAGTTGTAAAACAAGGGGCTCAATTCATTCTGAACGCTTTGTTATCTGAGTATTTCCTCTTTTTAACGTTGGTTTATGTCAAAATTGACTATTAAGAAGAATTATTTTAGAATAATGAAATTATATCAATGTGAAGATGTGCAGATATTAGACAAGAATTTGTTCTGAACATTTTACAGTTATGTCCATTAATGTTTCAAATTGGCTTATTAAGTAGACTGATGTAAACAAACTTTGAAATATATCAATACGAAGCTTAAAATACTTGATAATCATAGCAATATACATATACAAGAGAAAGGATTTATACTAAAACATTGTTTTCAGAAATAAATCCCCATTTATTACTTAGAATTTTTTGTCAAACTTTGACTTTTAAGTACAATAGTAAGACACGAATATGACACTTGTAAATTATCGTTTATCATGACAAGGGACAGTTGTTACCATAAGCATGACTATGAAATTTAAGTTTTGGAGTCATACACCTTTTTACCTTAGAATATTGTTTGATAGTCGTTGCCCTTTAAGGATATCTACTGAGGTACTAAAGCATTAAAAAAAGAAAAAAAACATACAATATAAATTGCTTACATAGATCAGCTGGAACACTTAAAACAGGAAGATATGCATTTAGATAATTAAGATATATACTTGGAAATAGATTGAAAATCAACCTTTTATGCTGTTAGAAATCGGTTCACCGATATTCAGTATTTGAATAATCATTGTGGAAAAACAGATTGAGCGAATGATCTGAACTGACATTTTACACACAGGGTATTGGTACAGATCGTCATCAAATGAAAAATTAATTAAAAAAAATATCCAAGTCCCGTCATGTAAAAAAAAACCAAAACAAAACAACCCAGTGGAGTCCCTTTAACTAGCTTGATTTTTGGCTTTAATGAACTTTATATTGGTCATTGATGCAACAAAATCTTACTCTGGATTAATACCATATTTTGTTTCGCCTCGTAGTTCAACCACCTTTGCCATTTAAATGACGTCAAACACACAATATGTTCCTAGTTGTCAATGAAAATGCTATTCTGTGATGGTAGTTAAACCGGAAATGAATTGTAAGTTGATAAAGTACCAGCACATATGTATACACAATTGTAATGCTAACAATTTTTTATCATGATCCGTTGTTTTGGTCATTCGAGCGCGTTTATGATGATGTGTATTAGCTTTAATACGAAATGTAATGATGAAATATACTGTTTTTAACGCCATCTGTGAAACATTTATAGCCATAACTCGAAGGTCAATAAACCTAACATGCATCATTGAGAACTAACCGGGAATTGAACGGCAACTTTTCTTACATTATTCAGAATCATTGATGAGAGAAAATGACCACCTAGACGTATTTTTACGGATGAAGTTTGCCTCTCTCGCTAATGAAACTGGCGACCTCTTGATTTAAGAAGTATTATCATAAACGGGCGGATACACACATTGATAAAATATGAGATAAAAAAAGTATCGTTTACACTGATACGGTATAATTTTTAACTTGGATAAATGATTTACTGAATAAACATAATTTTATGTGTATGTATAAATTTGTTTATTGCCTTTAATTTATGTATTGAAAGTCATAATTGTGCATCTTGTACAACAGTAAGGACATGTAGAAACATGTGTGATTGATTGATTGCCGCCAATATTATAATGTATTACATTTTCCGATTTACCCGGATGTCAACATGTAATGGAACATTAAAATGTAGAACATAATTTATCCTGAATGACACGGATGCTTACACGTGTCATGAAAAGTTGTAACGCAGACCATTTCCTTATTATCTCAGATGACATCACGTGTAATGCAATATTTCAATATTGGACCTTTCCTGTTTCAGATATGTAATGTAACAGTGTCTAAATTGATAATTCACTCACAGTGTCTTTCTTCCTTTGAGTTCGAAAATAGGTACAATTGTATAGCGAGAAACGTGAGTGGTTATCATTCATTGACATATTGAGGACGAACATACAGAAAACGTTGAAACGTTGAGAGATATTTAGCAAATCATAGTTAACCAGACCAAATGTTGCAATAATTATTAATTGAACAATCACCTGAGCCAAATATATAGCTGCAAAAAAAATGTACGGAAATCAGTTTTGACGATGATAGAAACAGACTAATGTGACAAAATCTTCATCTTGTTGTTGTCTAAGGCATTATTTCAGATGTTGGACATTGATAATTTTGTAGTAAACATCAGTTTTGATCATATTTCGTTCGAAACATTTGAAACCAAACTTACGAGCATTAGAGTTTTGTATCATCCCTACTATGCATTGATTGAAAAAAGGAAATAGAATAATTTAGCATAAAATGAGGAATAAAGGTTCTGACTTTTTGATGGGTTTCATTGTTTCGTGGTAACAATGTTTTTGCGTGGTGGTGCATCATGTTGAACAATTCTTTTGACGGATAAAAATGTAATTAAACAAGTGACAACTGCATTTCCTTTTGAATTTACGTCTTTTTTGTTTAAACATGCGCAGTTCAATTATTCTAAGATCATACTAAATTGCCAGCTAACAAAAAATCATTTTGCTACAGATTCCAGAACTCTTAGTAATGCCAAGAGAAAAATAACTTCAAATTTATTTTATGTGAGAAAAGGGATGAATAAATGGGTCGTGAATTTTCAATTTTAATTAAATATTCTCATGCGTACATCTCTATTTTTAAACTGATAATTCATTTACGTTAAGAAACATGATTAAATAATATAATTATTTTTCCAACTTGAATTATCACGCGGAGAGAAATTAAATTGTTTGAGTGTGCATTCACATTTATTAATGTAAATAAATTGTGACATAATGAACGTGAATATAAAAAAACACAGCTGATATCCATTCATTTTCATACTGTTTAATTATTTAAGAAGCTTGAAGTACATGCTAAGTTTTTTTTTTGCCAATTTTAGATAATTGAATTAAGCGTTTTAAAGTACTGCAGATTTAAAACGTTTTACACACTTATATGAAATCTTACTGCTTTTGAATATGCCCTTTTATTGATGTATCCAATATTTAAAAGAAATATGATGTGCTATGATATGATTTTGATTCTCATTCAAAACAGTCTTTATCATTTATTAATAAGATAAAAAATAGTATCTATAGTAACAAAAATCAACAAAAAATAGAGAATCTTAGACCAATTAGAAGGTTTGTGTCAGTAACATATTTGTGTGTGCATATAAACAGAAACCTAAAATGTATCGTTTGTTTAAACTTCGTCAAAATCTAATGTTGTAGAACTACTGTACTCTCCTTATATTATATATCTAAGAAAGGTTTCGTAAATTGTATTATAAAGTATGATGAAAATTGAAACGTTACCTGAAACTATACACCTGGGTATTCGTGAGATGAAATTATTATATTGTACGAATTTTATATAACAAGACATTTATTGGAAAAAACACTGATTTTTATAGACGTGTTTCTACTCTATGAGAGTTTGAAAAGGAATATCATATTAATTTTATTCGTACAAAAAAAAACGTGATTACGTTAAGTGGATAACATTTTCAACGCATTGATAAGGTAAAAGGATTTTAACTCACTGTGTCTGTATTCCTTTAAATAACACTGACAACAAATGAGTCTCTAGTCAATAATTTCATGTAGCAGTTTCTTATTAATTATAATGGCATAAGTAAAACTATAAAAGATATGACTACTTTAAAGAAACAATGATGAATATGTTATATTGATTAAAACGATATATATCTAGAACGTGGAATATTATCCGTAGATATGGCGGTGTTCTTTAGATTAATCATGTTTCAATTTGCAATATTCTCAAAGCATTTCAAATATTCTTACAAATAGAATTAGAATGGAAGTAGACAAATTATCTTTTGAAATTCGTCTCCATAGTTAGGAGTTGACATACAACATATGTGTATTTAAAGTTTCAAGAAACATAGTATATGTCACATTATTTGCAATATTGCCGTGTTGGGATTTCTTAAGGAATCGTGTTTTCCTCTATTTTATTTTTATCATGAATAGTATTTCAATAATACAAATAATGAAAAGGTAGAGTAGATCCGGGGAGTATCGGATACCGTACTGAATCGGACACATTTTGTTTTCACATAATAACGACTAAACTGTATACCGCGTATCGCTGTCGTCTTGTTCAACGAAGCGGGTGATTTTTTTTCAAATTCATAAGTGACTTGATATTTTACGTCACACTGTCTTTTCGGCGATTTTGATTGGCTAAAAAACTGAAATATCATGATGTCACAATCTTTTCCCGCCTTTGTTTACATCGGAGCATCACCAATATTTTATAGAGGTACCAAAAAATTTACAAACCTCCAGTCTTTGAAATTGAAAATAATTGACAAATAGTTGCTTTGAAGCAATATAGTTTATTGTTATTTTTAGAATCATGTTTAACTTAAAAAAGAAGGTATTTCCTTCTTTATTTGTAAATTTAAAACCGTCCGATATTACCCTACACGCATTTAGAGTGAAAATGTCTCAGTGGGGAACATCGGACACATGAATAGAAGTTAGCAATAATCAGATGGAATACCTCGATCTAGATAGATTCTATATCTCTTTAAAATATTTACTCTTTTTTGTTGTTGATATAAATGTATGCATTTTTTAATATTGACTAGATGTAAATTAAGCATCTTAATTACGCTTTAATTTTTTATATCTAGGAATGTTGTTATGTAACGTAACCGTCAGTGCCGCCGTTGTCTATATAACATAGGTGTTCAAGTCATCATTAACGTTTTTATGCTCCCCGAAAAAATTTCGGGGGAGCATATAGTCGCCGCCTTGTCCGTCCGTCCGTCCGTCCGTCCGTCCGTCTTTCCGTCCGTCCGTCCGTCCGTCCGTCCGTCCCCTTTTCTTGTCCGGGACATAACTTTGAAACAACAAGAGGTATCAACATGAAACTTTGTAGGTAGATAGATCTCATTGAGTAGGTGTGCAGTGCACAAGAACCGTAACTCTGCCTTGCCTAATTTTTGAATTACCCCCCTTTGTTTATTTTACACTTTGAAATTTGTCCGGGACATAACTCTAAAAGTATAAGAGGTATCAACATGAAACTTTGTAGGTAGATAGATCTCATTGAGTAGGTGTGCAGTGCACAAGAACCGTAACTCTGCCTTGCCTAATTTGTGAATTATCCCCCTTTGTTTATTTTACACTTTGAACTTTGTCCGGGACATTACTCTAAAAGTATAAGAGGTATCAACATGAAACTTTGTAGGTAGATAGATCTCATTGAGTAGGTGTGCAGTGCACAAGAACCGTAACTCTGCCTTGCCTAATTTTTGAATTATCTCCCTTTGTTTATTTTACACTTTGAACTTTGTCCTGGACATAACTCTAAAAGCATAAGAGGTATCAACATGAAACTTTGTAGGTAGATAAATCGCATTGAGTAGGTGTGCAGTGCACAAGAACCGTAACTCTGCCTTGCCTGATTTTTGAATTATCCCCCTTTGTTTATTTTACACTTTGAACTTTGTCCGGGACATTACTCTAAAAGTATAAGAGGTATCAACATGAAACTTTGTAGGTAGATAGATCTCATTGAGTAGGTGTGCAGTGCACAAGAACCGTAACTCTGCCTTGTCTGATTTTTGAATTATCCCCCTTTGTTTATTTTACACTTTGAACTTTGTCCGGGACATAACTCTAAAAGTATAAGAGGTATCAACATGAAACTTTGTAGGTAGAAAGATCTCATTGAGTAGGTGTGCAGTGCACAAGAACTGTAACTCTGCCTTGTCTTATTTTTGAATTATCCCCCTTTGTTTATTTTACACTTTGAACTTTGTCTGGGACATAACTCTAAAAGTAAAAGAGGTATCAACATGAAACTTTGTAGGTAGATAGATCTCATTGAGTAGGTGTGCAGTGAACAAGAACCTTAACTCTGCCTTGCCTAATTTTTGAATTATCCCCCTTTGTTTATTTTTACACTTTGAACTTGTTCCAGGACATAACTCTTAATGTATAAGAGATATCAACATGAAACTTTGTAGGTAGATAGATCTCATTGAGTAAGTTTGCAGTGCACAAGAACTGTAACACTGTCTTGCCTACTTTTGGAGTTATTGCCCTTTGTTCATTTTGAAACTTTGAACTTTGTCTGGGACATTACTCTAAAATTATAAGAGATATCAACATGAATCTTTGTAGATAGATAGGTCTCATTGGGTGAAAGTGCAGTGCTTAAGAATCATTACTCTGCCTTGCCTTATTTTGAAGTAATTGCCCTTTGTTTATTTTTACTTTTTGACTTTTGACCTGGACATTACTTTAAAACTATTAGAGATATCAACATGAAACTTTGTAGGTAGCTAGATATATTTTGATAGAACTGCAATGCTTAAAGAACCTAAACAAAGCCTGGTCTAATTTTGGAGTTATTGCCCTTTGTTCATTTTTACACTTTGACTTTTACCCTGGACATAACTCTGATATCATCAGGAAACTTTTTAGATAGATAGATCTCATTGAATAGAAGTGCAGTGCAAAAAAACATAACTCTGCTTTGCCTAAATTTTGAGTTTTTGCCCTTTGTTCATTTTTTTTATACTTTCCTGTGTCCAGAACCTTCTCGGGGAGCATCACCCGGTTCAACCGGTTCTTGTTTTTAAATGCCTTGATAATATATTTGCAGCAAAGACGATGGACTTTCCTCGTATGCTAGCAAAACGGGAGATCGGTTGGAGAGGCAATACTTTATTCTATAGGATTGTTGAAAAAGAACTGATTAACATGTTCGATCGGGAATGGTATTTTGATCATCCTTTTCTGACAGATTTACTTTGCATTTTACTTGAAACGGCAGAGAATAGCCACTGTGCAAGACTTATGATGACAGAAATCCATTCATTTATGAATGACAAAAACGCTGAGATCAAAAGTATTGTAATCTTGTCACGAAGATTAATTCATATTTTACCTTTTAAAAATGTTGAAAAAGTTTGTGAAATCATCGACGACATTAAAATGAATACACTTTAAAAAGAAATTTGTTTTCACTATAAATGATTGATAATGAAGGAAATCAAAAATGACTATTGAAAAAGAGATTTTTATTTCAAAATCTATCACAAATTTGAAATGATTGCTAGTGGTTTTGTTTTTTTAAGTAGAACTTTGATGATGAATTTTAAGATTGCCATCAAATATTGATAATATTTTACTGTCTTTGCATATAAACAATATAAAGGAAAACATGAAAAGAAACAATTTATGTTTATAAATGAATTTGTACACGAGTTATAAACAACCTGTTTTGTAAAACTTATGTCGTACACGTGTACGTGTATACTAAGGGTAAAGTCTTTTTTTGCGTTAAACGCGAAAAATATAATAATAATTATAACAATAATATAATAATAAAAATGGTGATGTTAAAATCAGGCAAACTAATAAAGTAAAGCAATATAATTTATAATGAAATAGAATTATCCACATAAGTTAAAAGTGATTTGCAATATTCTTTATTCTCCATAAAAACAATTTAACAATGAAGTCACGCGATCACGCTCCGTTATTATTTTTCAGTGTGCGATTCCTTGCGCCGACACAATCCCTCTATCTAAAAGAAACATTGTAATTCAACAATTCTATCACTTGGCTTGACAGAATATCTTAAGTATAATTTGCCTTTTAAACTTGCTTTACATAATTTTGTTTACATCTGCATAACATCAAAATAAAAAATCGGAAGTCGATATTAATGAAATCGAGCATAATTATTATATCGTTCAGCATATGTGCATTGTTGACACCTTAAAATGCACGGCAATCGGCGGCACTCCTTGAATTTAAATTTATTCTTAATTCTAAATCTTATTCTAAACAGAACGATGGCACGAAAGTCTAAAGGTGTTAGATGTCAGTATAATCGTACAAACTTGGAACTCGCAGTTGCCGCCGTTAAGTGTGGGCGTCTGTCTATTAGAGGTGCAGCCAAAGAATTTTCAGTTCCCAAATCCACACTATCTGACCGGGTAACAGGACGGGTTTCACAAGATGCGAGTCCGGGTAAAGAAACTGTTCTCCCATTAGAGGTTGAAATAGAAATAGCCGAAAAAATTAAAGAAGCTGGTAGAATGGGCTTTGGTATAACAAGGGCACAACTATGCATGAAAGTGTCTCGCATTGCCCTTGCAATGAAGATTAAGACACCGTTTCGAAACGGCATACCAGGTAAAGATTGGGTTGATGGTTTTAAAAAGAGACACCCAGATGTTTCATTGAGAACACCTACCCCGCTAAACTCCGTGAGAGCACGTATGCTCAATATCGAGGTCACAAATAAATACTTTGCGGATCTCGGGAAGTGTATCAGCACCCTTAACCTCCATAGTTCCCCTCACCTCATTTGGAATATTGACGAGACCAACGTGTCTTTGACTCATAGACCGTCAAAGGTTTTGGCAGAAACAGGACAACGGAATGTACCAGGAAGGGTAGGCAACTGTAGAGACGGCGTTACTGTCCTTGCATGTGTTAATGCCGCTGGTAATGATATTCCCCCATTGGTTATTGTGAAGGGTCAAACAGAGAAGTCCCTCCGTGCATATAACGTGGCACAAGGTCCTCACGGAGCAAAATATACTTACCAAAAGAAGGCCTGGATGGAAGATATATTGGGTGTTACGTGGTTTAAAGATCACTTTTTGAGGTATTGTGGTTCAGAGAGGCCACAGATGATTATCCTTGACAGCCACAGTTCACATGAAACCATTGGTTTGATCAGCTTGGCCCGTGAAAATGACATTCATCTATTTGCTCTGCCCCCACATACAACCCAGTACTTAAACCCTTTAGATAAAACTGTATTCGGGCCATTCCAAAGAGAGTACAACCGCCAGTGTACTGATTTTATGAGCAAATCGCCAAATAATATTGTAACAAAATGGGAGTGGCCAAGACTTTTTAAGTCTGCCTACATGAAAACTGTTAATAAAGAAAATATCGCGAAGGGTTTTGAATTTTGCGGGATCTTTCCTTTCAATCCTTCAAGCATCCCAATGTCAGCATTTTCGCCATCTTTGCCCTTTGATAATCCTTCATATTCAATAACTTCTATCCACGGCGAACACGACACCAGTGCTGTTGTCCCGTTGAATACATCAGGTTCTATACCTCAGGAATGTGAGGCGCCCGAGTCGTCGGCTGTACCAGAGGGTGCAACTCTTATTGGAACGGCTGATGCAAATGGTGTAGCTGAGATAGATGACCCATCAGCACTTCTTGACCTGATTGTAAGAGGGCAACTAGAAATTATCACATCTGAAAATGAACAAGTCAATGTAGTAAGTGTTGAAACAAATTCTTGGAACGATGAAATAAACAAAGAATTCAAATTACCTACACCAGAAATACCAAAATCAAAGAAAGTTAATAAAAAGTTGACAAGCCATAGACTTTTAACATCCGATGAAATTTATCAACAAAAAATAAAAGAAAAGGAACAAAAGAAAAAACTTGAGCAAGAGAAAGAAGACAGAAAAAGAATTAGAGAAATGAAGGCTTTAGAAAAGAAAAATAAAGAAATAATGAAGAAAGCAGGAAGTGCAAAGCGCCAAAGGCTGCAGTAACATAATATTATACTGTTGTGCAAACATATCATACATGAACAAAACTGTAAACAGTAATATTATACTGAACAAAACTGTAAACATATGTTAATGTAAGGCAGATTGTGCACTAATATTGCTTTCTCTTGATAAAGAAACATAAAAAATGGTGTACGTTTACTCTGGGAAGAAGTAATGTTTACTCAAAAAAAGCTTTTTACTTGATCTTTTTATAAATTCACTGGCAAAATTAACGTTTATGATTAATAGCTATATTAAAAAAGAGTGTTCATTTTGGTATTTAAAACATTGATATTATTATACAGCCTAAGAATAAAAATGCTTGATATGAAATAGTTGGGTTAAAACAATTTATTTTTAAAAAAAACATACGTGTCCGATATTCCCCACTTTGAGTTAGCATGTCCGATATTCCCCGAAATGCATGTCCGATTCAGTACACTTTTGTCCGTTTCAACCCGGTATTTAATATAGATAGTATATCCCATAATACAACTAAAATTAGCGGTATAAACACAACCTACGTCTTTGTAAACGTCATATATCGAAGATAGCAGCTGTGACTGTCGAGACGACAACGATATTTCGAAACCATATTCTGATATGGTCGATCTTGTCCGTAACTGTCCGATATCACCCGGATCTACTCTAGTGAAGAAGGAACAGATTAACAATGAAGTGTCCCAAATATAGAAATATAATGGTATATATAAGTGTAAATGAATCTTTTTGTCTTTTGGAATTGAGTTTGTACGTGTAAAAAAAGAATATGCTATCACTTTGGTCAGAAAGGTCTGGGTTGCCTTAAAGTAGCACATAAGTCATTGTCAACAATAGTGTACTCAGATTGCGAAGTAGCTTTCACCGAGCTGTGCTAAATTGTGTACACTCGAAGAAGAAATGAAAGTTATTTTCTTTTTGACCACAAAGACATGGTATGTTTTCCAAAAACAAGTTGAAGGTTTAAAAAGGAACTTACAAAACCTTTTTTTTTCCAAAAATTCCCTTTTGGGAAAAATTTCCTTTGAAAATGGAAAAAGGGACAAAAATTTTTTTTTCCTTTTTAAACCATTTATTTTTTTTTGGAGGGCCGGGGGGTTAAGGGGGGTTGGAAAAGGGGGTTTGGGGGGGACATGTGGAGGAAACCGGGTTTTAGTTTTAAAATTGCCCCTTACTGGGCAAAATCGGACAAAAAGAAGGGAAAATTAAAAGGGTGTTTTTTCCTTTTGCCCAAAAAGGGGAAATAAAAAAACTTTTTGGGAAAAAAATGGTTCGTATAAAAAATTTTCTTTTGGGTTTGGTTAAAAAAATTCTTTCGGGGGAAAAATTTATTAAATTTCAAATTTTGGAATTTTTTAGAAAATTGCAAACAAAAAAATTAAAAAAACTGGGGCTAGACCGTTTTTTAATTAATAAAATAAGATCATTCTGTGAATATATCGTCTTTCTTCGAGTGATTCCCATTTTATTTCGTTTGAAAGTTTTTCGAGTAAAACAAGTTTTTGGGAAATGATCGTTTCTTTTTGGGTTTTGGGTTTTGTTCATCTTTTTTCACAATTTCTTTGCATTTTTCCCCAAATTTACATCAGATATTCAGTTATGGAAATAAAGAAAGGAAATGTTAAAATGACTTAATTGATTTGGCTATCTTGGGGCCCGGGTTTTTTAAGTTTTTTGATTTAATTTTTTTCCCTCTTCCCCTGCCCTTTTTTTTTATAAAATTTAAAAAATTTTAAAGTGAGTGCCACCCTTTCAGTTGTTTTTTCAAAAAAAAATTAAGATGTTTTTGACAAGAAACTTCAGTGAAAGTAATTATTCATGTGTAGGTGACATTTGGAATATAGAAAAAACAAGGTGTGTTTATACGACAATTTTTTTATTTAACCTTCAACGTTCGTATCATCCCACAAAAAGCGGTATATAGTCCCAAAGAAACATATACGTGTGTCCTAAGTATGAAAACAGTAGTAAAAACTAAACAAAATGAACTTAGTTTATTTTTAATGATCCTCAACATTTTCTTCTATCTATTTAGCATATATCGTAAACGTACAACCAGAAAGGTTGAATTAGTTCGGATTAAAATCTTGCTACTTTAATTCATGTTTAAGTGTTATTGTATAGTGAAATTCCAATGGGATAATTCTCATTTTACTGACCGCAAGTTTACGGTTATAGTCAAACATAAGCAATGCATAAAAATAATAGCAACTAAACATTAACTGCATGGGTACAAATACAAGTTGGCGAATTTTGTCTTTGATTATAATGCACTATAGCAACTCTTTTGTCTGGTTATTTTTAGTGTTATATATTAGCAAAAAGATGAGGAATACAAAATCAATTATGTTTTAAGAATGGACTCCCGTATTACGACACAAATTATAAGTCATATCTGATTATGTTAAAGTTCCTTCTCTTGCACTATATTTAAAAAAAATAAATTTAAAATGAACACAAAAGATACAAATATCTTATATTTCGTTATTAATTCCTATCAAGTGACAAAAATTAACATTAATGCACGAACAAGTTTAAAAAGTTCGAGTTTAAATATCTATTTAAAAAAACATTAATTCCAGTTTATACTCAGAACGTTAATCCAACAACCGACATTTACTTTATAGAACAATCCTTCATGAAATTGTAATAACCTAAATAAGACTTTATTTCCCATCAATATGTGTTTAAACACAATGTGTTTATTCCCATTGTTGGCAAAATAAAGCAAAACAAAAATAACAACCCTTGTTGGAACAATGTTAACAATACTATACGAATAAGTCACGTCACGATTGTATTGTCAATCGAAGCAAAGCATGTCTTTTTGGAATACAACGAAACATCCGTGATTATTTAGATTCATTCTAAACGTATAACAATAAAAGATAATGTTAGAACAGGTATACAACATTGCAGTGTCTAGAATAATAGTGTAAAATAATTTATAATCTATGGTTCATGTATCATTTCAATATCGTCATTATTGGAATTTATTCCTCCATCGCTGGTTGAGGTTTTTTGAAGTCAACTTTACAGGTATGACATATTCCATTATCTTGATATAATTTTAATAAATAAGCAGAGTGTAAATGTTCTTTTATGATAAAATAATATTGAAACGTGTGAAGATTCACATTAAGGTGTATCATTATGAAATCAATATATCGTATAATGTCAAAGCACTTGTTTGTTAATACGGTTTACTTTGGGTTTTTTTCTGAAGAGTAGAAAATATGATGACAATTTTTCCTTGATACTTCTATACTTTGATATTTAATAAAAAACGTCTGTCTGATTATGTTGTGTTTTGATTACTAAAATATGTTTCAAACATCACTTGGTCTAAGATTATTTCTTTAAACCATGAAGAAAATTGTGTATAATACACAAATAGTGCCGAAATGCCATGTCAGTTAGTTTGGAAGATTTATAATGTGATTCAAAGATAAAGAAATAAGTCTCATGGGAAGATATATTGTAATGTCAAAGACAGAGAAGTAGTGTATAGAATGGAAATACATTATAAAAAAGCAATTTAATAACGGACATTCACTCTATATAAATACGTCTTTTCCTATGGCGTTCATACCTTATATGGATGATAACCTAAATGCACTCAAAATGCATTTAAGTATGAGACGCAGAAAATTACAAATTATTTCTGCGGCGGATATTTGTCTGCAAAATATTTAATGCTAACCTCGCTGGAGAAGCTAACAGCATTTCCAAATTTTGTTTCAAGTACTTTTACCTAAAAACACAAAAGATTAATACATGTATCTCCATAATGGTAAAGAAAAAGAAAAGTTAAAATCAAAGCCGGGATAGGTCAAAATGTACCAAAATACTTTTATAAGCAACATTTCATAGACACATGCACTCACGAAATGCTTATACAAACATGTATATATATAATTATATATATTATTTGTCTATGTAATCGACGGAAAGCCTGCTGCATACCATAATTGTTCTTCCGGCATGCTTGTCTCTGTGCTGGGTACATGTTATATTTGTGTGTTCTTTTTAAACATAGCAGTTGTTTGTCTTGACTTACAGCCGCATTTAATGAATTTCATAAAAAAGAAATAGTGACATTTCATTAATAAATGAGGTTTCATATCGACTCCAAATCTAATTTCGGTGTCCAGACAACCAAAATGTGTTTGATAGGCATAAAAATCTTCAACTACATTGTGGTGAAATCGGAAGTACAATTTACGTTTGCATGAGAAAGTCCGCCTTCGGATCGTTCGTACATCAATATCAAAACAATAAACATGGCTAAAAGTAACAGTCCTAATTTAACGGTATATTTTGGCATTGTAACGGGTGTTTTCATACAAATTTGATCTTTTTTATGAAATGATTACTTTTTACTGAACGCCAGGACGTTAAATCGCTGAAAGTATGTTTGCACAAGGAACTATCAAATTTCCTGTACTTTAACACTGTGACGTAACGCATATAGATCTACGAATTGATACGCATAGTCTTCATGTGCATGTTATCATTCGAATACAAACTTTAGTGTTACCGTAGGGTTGTCCGTTTAAAATCGTAATTTATGAACAATTTTTGATGAGATTAACAACAATACTGCAAAAAACTTAATGCAATTGTAGAATGCTTGGTTTTTAGGCCGACGGCAAAATATTTTTACATTTTTATTTAATGCAGCTTTAAATTATACTTAGGGTCAGTCTTTAAAACAATTGATTTGGGGTGGGGTGAGATTTTATTATCTCATAACGTTTTAACATATCTAAACATTTGATGAGGATAGTCAAAGAAGGCTCTGTTCTAAAGGTTATGTAAGAAATATATATTGACGATAAAACAAACATATTTTTTAGTTAATGAATGATTCCTAACAAAACAGCAATGGTTGATCAATGACATTTGAATCATGAATTATGACATAAGAATTTTTTACGCAACGTTATTTATATTATAATAATAATTATTTGTAAATATATATATGTATGAAATCAACACACCAATACGAAAGCCTTCACATTATGACTCAAAACCATATCAGAACGCATTTTTGTCACTGATGAATTCTTCTTTTGCACTGGTTGACATGAAATTTGGTAAACATCAATCACGTTAGTGTCATTTAACAATCATTTAACTTAATATGTTTTGACTAC